GCCTTCTTCCCCTCCAAGATTCCCCCCTCCCACCGTTTCATGACAGCCGAAAGAAGTAAATTGGCATAGCAGCAGAGAAGCAATAGTTAGAAGACAGAATATACTTATTAGGAAGATATCTTGAGGCTGACACAAGTCAACATTCAAAGCAGGGTCTGATATCCTTCAGGGCATGCAGCTCAGATAAAGGGAATTAGAACCCCTCCCCGTAGTCCGATGTGGATTTCACCAATCTGCAGGTGCAAACATGTTATTTTCCCCTCGTTTCTGAGAACGCAACTAAGAAGAGGTTCCCAGGAGTTTTCTTCCGGAGTTGGAATTTATATGGCCCCTTCTCCTCTTACCATCTCTCCAAGAGGCGAGAATTTTCCAGGCATCTGGGGCGCCAGGCAATGGTTATAAACCATGTAAAGGGTTATACATGTTCATTGCAAGAATTAGGATATTTAGGTTACATCAAGTGGAAAAGAGTTAACTGTATCGACCCCCCCCCCCCCCCCTTCTTCCATTGAAGAATGGCAGATACACAGATCTGAAAGGATTGCATTGAGACATACAAGACTATTGACTCTGGAGGGACATGATTTGCAACTGGGTTGGCACGCCTTATGATATGGGAAAAACAGAATACATGGTTACTTTCAAAGACATTATATAAGGAATGTGTTATTGTTAGTATGGGAGAAAATTAGAGAACAACATTCTTTGAAGATACCAGTCTGGCTTTCAACAATGGAACCATTGACTCACCCAAATGTTATTAAGATGGGAAATATTGTTAGATATAAAGACATATTGAATTAAAACTTCAGATATAAAGACATATTGACTCAAAACTAAACAAGAATTGAATAAACAAGAGATTGATATGACATGGTATTCACAGATGCAGATACATTCTAGATATGAGAAAGATGCTAAATTATATGGTTTTTATAAAGAAGCAAGAGAAGTAGATATTAACAGGGACAGAAGACTGATGAAAAAAGCTGTATAACTATCTGTTGGCTATTAAACTGGAAGACGAACAAGTGAAAGAGACAATGATAGCGTGGGCAAAAAACTTTGGCTACACAATAGAACTAGACGAATGGCAGAAGTTGTGGGATAGGAATTATAAATTGACAATGTCAACCGCATAGAAAGAAAATGTATACAAGATGTTTTATAGATGGTACCTAGCACCAGTGAGGCTGGCAAAGATGTTTAAAGACAAATCAGCTAAATGTTGGAAATGCCACCAGATACCTGGGCCATATTATCATATGAGGTGGACATGTGTAGAGGCAAAAAAATATTGGACAAAAATAAAAATGTGGTTGGAAAAGATGACAATGCAGCATATTGATTTAAAACCAGAAATATTTTTGTTGGGGATTTTTCTTGAAACCTATAGTAAAGGAAATGCATATTTAATTATACATGTATTAACTGCAGCTAGAATTGTATTTGCACAAAACTGGAAAAGTGATTAGATCCCTGTAGATGAGAATACGATTAGGAAAATATTAGATAAATGAATAGATTATTAACACTTCCTATAAAGGAGAAAGAACTGAATATGACATGGGAGTTAATTTATGGATGGTTGGAGAATAAAAATAGAAGTGAGAAATAAATGGAGATTAGCGAAATAAAGAATATATGTTAAGATAGAGATGTAAATAATATGATTATTATACGTATGATTGTTAAGATCACCATACTCAATGTATTTTCATTAGAAGATATGTTAAGAGGGAGAAATGAATAGAGTTATAATGCTGATTATTAATATTATAAAATTAGAGATTATCAATGTAATGAATATTGTAAACTTTGATTGTAATTGCAGAGACATTTGTACCCAGATGACACACTGTTTAATGGAAGATGGTATGTTCAAGTTAAAAAAATAAAAAACTTTTTAAAAAAAGAATAAAATGTATACTGGTTTTTCCCTGGATTCATTTCTCTCCACATGTCTTGTATCAATAGTTCTATCATTTTAGCAAAGGTTCTGGGTAGAGTCCTTCTTGTTTTTTATTTATTTTATTGCTTTTGTAGTCAAGTTTTGTATCAACTATTGCATTAAACTGTCCTATAAGACAGATATTTTTGTATTGTTTCAAGTATCTTCTTGTGGTGTTTTTAATAAAATTCTACTTGTCCATTGTTTGGTGCATATATGGCAACCAAGTGTATCTGTTTTTGGTTTAAGATCGCTTCCACTTCCACCATCAAAATTCTCCCTTCTTCATCTTTGAAGATTTGGTTAGCATTTATTGTTTCTTTGACATATAGTCAAAACTTATTTAAAAATGCACTTCCTTGTATTGTGGCCCAAGAGTTATCCAGCAGTGGTATTTTTTTTTTTTTAGGTATAGGCTTGCCTAAAGTCATCTTTGCCTACTCAAGTGTACCCGGGGTGGGATTCTCCCGGTTCAGACTGGTTCGGGTGAACCCCTTGTTCTGACAATCAGCTGGCTCCAAACTGGTTCGCTCCAACAAGCATGTGGGCCTGCCCACCCACCCCCACTCTTTCCTGTGCTTTATGTCTTTTTGTTAGAGCACAGCTGATTTGCACGGCAGAGTAGTTTGCCATGCCTCAGCTGTTTTCTTCAGCTGCAGTTGAAGGTAAATATTAGCTTTTTAAAACGCGGAGCACACGTGCGAAGCACATGCTCACCGAACCGGTTGTTATACCAGTTGAATCACACCCGAGTGTACCAAGTTAGCACCCACCCCTCTCCTGGAAGAATGAAATATTTTGGGAAATATTAAAAAAGGCAGAATATTATATTTCCCTAAAGGAGAAACATGGTTTTAGAGAACAGCCCCCACCTTTTTTTTGTAAAAATTTTATTTGGGTTTTCACAAAACATAATACAAATAAAATATCTTTTTTTGAGAATAGCATGGTCCCAGGTTATCACTTCTCCATACAGACACAAACTCAATTTCATATTCATCTTTGTATTCTATTCCATATCTTATTACTATTTTAACATTTTCTCAATAATTTTTCCCTTCCTTTAGTTTTCTCAACCTTGCTTTTAAATATCTCATTCCTTTCTAAATTGAATTATATATATATCTTTTTCTAAGTTTCAATATCTTTCTTATCGTTATATTTATACTTTTGTCTGTCCTGTTTCAATTTCATATTTTCTTTTCTCATTAAACAAAATTTTCCCCTGTAGTTACTGATTGGAGTATGACACCTTTGTATCTTTTAATTTTTGTCCATTCAACTCTTATTTAAACTTCAATTTATGCCTTTACAATTATAACATTCAATATAACACATAATTTCCAGTTGAATTCTGCTTGGTACATTCTTAAAATACACACTAAGTTCTTAAAGAGAAAGTATATATATATGACAATAATAAATAAAATACTTATTCTATTCCAATTCAGCTCTATCATTAATGTTAGTTATAATCTTTGACACCTTTAAGATTTCTTTTCGATGGATGGAGTAGATGAGGTACCGTATTTATCGGCGTATAACACGCACTTTTTTCCCCCTGAAAATAGGGGGCAAATGATGTATGCGTGTTATACGCCGATATAATGTTAAGAAGCCTTCGGTGAATGCTGCTGGGATCGGGGATCAAGGACACAAATGAAAGAAGGGGAGGGAGGAAGCAACCGAAGCCTGTCCTTCTCTCTGGGTCAGCTCTCTCAGTCGCTCTCTCGCTCCTCCACCAGCACAGGAAGAAACTGCTTCAAAGAAGCGGGGGGGGGGGGGGGGG